AAAAAAAAAAAATTCTTTTTTAATTAAAAAAAAATTAAAATTTTATTTGTATAGTTTCACATAGTATATAATATCAAAAAAAAAAGTTTTAAATAATAGCAATTATATTTCACATTCCATAATAACTTTCATTTTTTTATATTCACTCATTAAAAAAATGCTAGAATCAATTTTATTTGCTATTTTTATTTGGTCAATAATAATTTTAAAAATTATTTTCCGTTCCACCCCACAAGAAACCCAAACCAATAGCCACATCCAAACCAATAACCACACCCACACCAATAACCACACCCACTCAAACAACCACAAAATTAAAGAAACCACAAATTCTACCCCAATCGATCAATCCCCACAAGAAAAAAACAAGTATGATAGTACCTCAACATTCCATTATTCCGCATATAGAAACTTATATTGTTGTTCCGAATATTATAATAATCAAGATAATTCTGGTCGTTCCACAGTAACTCAAGAAATTTTAAGTCATTCTCCAAAGCAATTTCTTGAAAAAATCCATGCCCCAAAGGAACCATCACAACCAGAAAATCTATTTCCATATTCACCATTCGACCACACCAGAGAAAGAATGGAAAAAGAAAAAATAGAAAAGGAACAACAAAAAGAAAAGGAAGATATGGAACAATTAAATAGAGAAACCCAAGAACGTATTGAAAAATTAGAAAAAGAAAGAAAAGAAAGAGAATATAGAGAATCTTTGGAAAGACAAAGATTAATAAAAGAAAGACTTGAAAAAGAAATTGAAGAAGCAAAGGAAAAGAAAAGAAAATTAAGAGAAAAAATAGAAAGAGAAAAAAAAGAAAAAGAACAAAAAGAAAGAGAAAAAAAAGAAAGAGAACAATTAGAACGTACCCAAACAATTTTAAAAGAAACTTTAGAAAGAGCAATGGAAAGGGTACGTTTAGAAAACTTAGAAAGAGAAAGATTAGAAATATTAGAAAGAGAAGAAAGAGAAAAAGAACAACAATTAAGAGAACAACAAGAAAGAGAAGAAAGAGAAAATCAAGAAAGGGAACAACAACAAAGAGAAGAAGCAGAACGTAGAGAAAACCAAGATCCTTGCACTATTTGTATGGACACAATTGAACCAAGCCAACTTGCCGCAATCGATTGTAACCACATCTTTTGTTTCGATTGCATTATGGAATTGTCTTATCGTCGTGATAACACATGTCCAAATTGTAGAGCTCCATTCTTTTTAGTAAGAGTAAGTAATTAATACATTCATTTATATACATAATAAATAAAACATATATATTAATTTAATTTATTATTTAATTGTAGAGAGTCAATGGTTCAACAAACTAAGCCAACTTAGAACAAGGTGATCAAAGTCCACCACTTTTAAATAATGATGATGCAAATTCTAACGAATCCAATATCGGTATGGAATAGTTTGACCAAATGGATATCGATTAGATTTCCATTACCGTTTCAAATGGTAATTATTAGATTTCATGAATATGTATCAAGAATTATCTGGCCAAGAATTCTATGATTACATGGACATAAATCAATAATATACCATCCAATTGGAAACGTAAATATTAAGAATTCAAAAAAAGGTTAAACTGCAAACATCATCATTGGACAACATTCTCATCGTTATCAACACTATTGGTATTAAACAATTCATCGCTTCAACTCTACAAAATTACGTTTAAAAAGTTCTCAAGGTTCAATTAATAAGTTCTCCTCATATTGTAACTATAATATTAATATTTACTAAAATATTATTAAATTTGAATATAAATGAAACTAATATTTTATTTTAATTTTATATAGTATAATTATAATCCTTTCTCTCTCAGAATTATCAGGTTCTTTCTCTCACATTATTATCATGTTCTTTCTATAATGTCAATTCTAATATGGCATTTATTTAATTAAGGTAGCTATAGTGTTTATAATTACATAATTATTATTTAAATATAAGAAACTAATATTTATTTTTACTTCTTATATAGTCAATTTATAATTCTTTCTCTTAAATTGTATATATAATTCTTTCTCTCTCATGGGATTATCAGGTTTTTCTCTTTAGTATAACAATTTTCTTTCTTTAAAGCCAATAATAGGTCATTTGTATAATTAAGGTAACTATAGTGTTTATAACTGCATAAATTTAATTTGATTATAAAATATACTAATATTTAATTCATATTTAGTTTAATTCATTCTCTTTCAAGCTTCACAAGTTTTATCTAAGTCTACATTGGGATATTCATAATATTAAGGTAACTATAAAATTATATATTAGTTTCTTTTATATTCAAATTTAATAATAATTTTGTAAATATTAACATTATATTTTATTTAGTTCAGATTCAATTCTTTCTTTTTCAGTTTCAATATGTTATTTATTTCGAGTAATTATTCATACATCGGGGGTTTCATATATTCCATTATATCGCGGTTCAGTATGTTCTTTATAATTGTAGTTTTCAAGTAATTCATCAAACACTTGGGTTTTTTTCAGGTCACTCATCAAACATTTGGGGTTCATTATTTTCTTTTCAATCGGGGTTTTCAGATCATTAATCAAACATTTGGGGTTCAATATCTTCTTTTAAATTGGGGTTTTCAAGCTATTCATCATACAATGGAGTTTTCAAGTCATTCTTCAAATATTGGGGTTCATTATTTTCCTGTGGTTTTCGAGTCATTCATTAAACATTGGGGCTGTTTTTCAAATATTTCATCAAACATTGTCGGTTTATTAATTTATCAAACGCTGTGGTTCTTTCAAATCGTTCATCATACATTGGGGTTGTTTTTCAAATCTTTCATCATACATTGTGGGTTTATTAAGTCATTCAAACGCTGTGGTTTTTAATTCGTCAAACACTGTGGGTTTTTAATTCATCAAACGCTGTGGTTTTTAATTCATTATACATTGTGGGTTTTTTAATTCATCAAACGCTGTGGTTTTTTCAAATCGTTCATTATACATTGGGGGTTTAGTTTATTCTTTATAAATTGGTTTTTTTACATCATTTATTAAGCATTGGGGTGTTTTTTATAGTCGTTCATTGGGGTTTACTTTATCTAATAAATTGTGGTTTTCAAGTCATTCATCATTCATTGGGGTATTTGTGCTTTAAAGGTATTTATAAAGTTAATATTAATATAATTATATTTGAAAATAAAAGAAACTAATATTTAATTTTAAAATATTAAAGATTTGAATTCTTTCAACACATAATATTCATCATCCAGAGACATATTTAATAATATACATATTAGTATAAATAATAATCAACTTTATATATAGTGTTAATAACCATATTATAGATTTGGATAAGGATTATAATAATATCGATAACATGGAAATGGACCATTATAATATATAGAATTAAAAATTCTCCATCCCTAGTTAATTTTCTATTCATTATCAAAATAAAGATCTTTAGTTTTAAAAGCTTATTTAAATTTTTTAATAAAATAAATTTTTATTTTTTTTTATTATTTAAAAACCATATGGTAAATTTTTTCCATCTTGTGAAATTTGGTGAATAAATTGACTTTAAGTTGCTGTTATTGTGGTGATAATTGTATAAAATAAAAAGTCAATTATTGTAATTTATTATCATTATTATTTATTATTTCTATTATTATTTATAATTATATATATATATATTTAAATTTTGAAAGCATTTTAATATGACCTTTAGTTTGAAACTAATCTCTAGTGCAATACTACCACCCTGATACCACGATTGACTCTGATACTAATACACTACCACTACACTGTAATAGTATAACTCTTGTAGAAAATGAGTTAACTACGATTCTCTGTATGTGATATGTGCTAAGCTACTGTGATTCAATGAACTGATTACATTTCTCAATAATAACAATGATTTATTAATCATTTTAACTTTGTCTAAAATTATACCCATGTTTTTGAAATATTTTCTAGATTAACCTATACGGACAGATCCTTTTTTTTAAAATTTTATGGTTGAATATATAAAAGTAATTATTATT